CCACCATCACCATATCTCGGGTACAAAATTGCAATCGACGACGGCAATTATAGATACTATCAAATCCCCTACGGAAATCGTTCCTACCAAATGTTGATGGTTGTACTTTTCTGGATTGTTCCTGTTCTCAGTGGTGGTCTCAGCATCTGGCTGTTCATGAAATCTTTCTACGCTGTCAAACTCAACAGTGTCGGTGTCAAGGAGGCAAAGAATTATATCCCATTGGCCTTGCGCAGAAAGCTGAAGAGAGAAAAGAAAGAGGACGAATCTGAGAAAGAAATGACAGTCATGGGAGGATTACACTCAATGTTCCACGAAAACGCCACACAACTTGGACTCCAGGCTGATGTTGCAGCTACCGGACGACGAACTGTACTTATTGCTACTATGGAATACGATATCGAGGATTGGGCTATCAAGATCAAGATTGGAGGTCTTGGTGTCATGGCACAATTGATGGGAAAGAATTTGGGTCATCAAGATCTTATTTGGGTCGTTCCTTGTGTTGGCGGTATCGATTATCCTATTGATCACCAAGCTGAACCTATGGATGTCACAATTCTTGGAAATTCCTACACTGTTCAAGTTCAATACCATACTCTACGCAACATCACTTACGTTCTTCTCGATGCACCAGTTTTCAGAGCACAATCTAAATCTGAGCCATACCCAGCCCGTATGGATGATTTGGACTCGGCCGTTTACTACAGTGCTTGGAATCAATGTATCGCTCTTACTATCAAGCGTTTCCCTGTTGATTTGTATCACATCAACGATTACCACGGAGCCGTCGCACCAGTTCATCTTCTTCCAGAAACAATTCCATGTTGTTTGTCCCTCCACAACGCCGAGTTCCAAGGTTTATGGCCCATGCGTAACCAGAAAGAGAGAAGCGAAGTCTGTCAAGTCTACAATATTCCAGAAGAAGTCGCCATCAAGTACGTTCAATTCGGAGACGTGTTCAATTTACTCCACGCTGGAAGTTCTTATCTTCGAATTCATCAAAAGGGTTTCGGTGCTGTCGGTGTCAGTAAGAAATACGGAAAGCGTTCCTGGGCAAGATATCCTATTTTCTGGGGATTGAGCAAGATCGGTAATCTTCCTAATCCTGATCCTTCTGATACTGGAGACTGGAGTGGAACTCAGGATTCAATGGCCAAGACGACTGTTAACCAGGACTTTGAAAGTCAAAGAGGCGAACTCAAAAGACAAGCACAGGAATGGGCTGGTCTTGAACAAAATCCTAACGCTGAGCTCTTGGTTTTCGTCGGTAGATGGTCAATGCAAAAGGGTATTGATTTGATTGCTGATGTTATGCCTGCTGTTTTGGAGGAGAACCCAAATGTTCAACTTATTTGCGTTGGTCCTGTTATTGATCTTTATGGAAAATTTGCTGCTCTCAAACTCGATGTCATGATGACAAAATACAAGGGCCGTGTCTTCAGTAAACCTGAGTTCACTGCTCTTCCACCATTCATTTTTTCGGGAGCCGAATTCGCCTTGATTCCATCTAGAGATGAACCCTTTGGTCTTGTCGCTGTAGAGTTTGGTAGAAAGGGAGCTTTGGGTATTGGTGCTCGTGTCGGTGGTCTTGGTCAAATGCCTGGTTGGTGGTTCACTGTTGAATCTACTACTACCACCCATATGCTTCATCAATTCAAACAAGCCATCAAGGAAGCCTTGGCCTCCAAATTGGAAACTCGTCAAATAATGAGAGCACGATCTGCCAAGCAACGTTTCCCAGTCGCTCAATGGGTCAATGATCTTGAGACATTGCAAAGTAAGGCAATCAAGATTCACGACAAGGAAGAGGCCAAACATTCTGGTAGACCAAGATCTAGAGGAAGAGATGGAGGAAACATTTTCTATTCTTCCGCCAAGAGATTGTCGAGTTTCGGTACTAGTTTCGCTAGTACCTCACAACTTGATGTTGCCAGTACCATTGGTGGCTCTACCAGGCCATCCTCGCCAACCCGTGTTGAACAGCCACCAGCCGGAGGTGGACTTAACCGAAAGCTTTCTTTGGGATACAGAGCTGGTCCAGGTCATCGCGTAATGAAGAACAGATTCAATGGTAGTAATGCATCGATCGGAATGGGTGGTGCGGTCAAACATGACGAAGGACTGACCGATGTGGATGAAGACAGCGATGATGAAGATGCCCGAGTTCGTGACGACATATACGATGAATACGTACTCACTCCTGAAGAATTGGAAGCCCAAAGACAACAAGAGCAATACAGAGGACGATCTGACAGTCCTGCCGGAGGCGCATTCCTCGCACCACAACCAGGATACTTGGATTCTCCACGCAGAAGTCCAAGTGCTAATACTGGTAGTCTGCATATCAATGACTCTGAGTTGTCGTTGCCACGTCTCAAGGATGGCTCAAATATCTATTCCACTCACTCGATACCTGCTTCTCCTGGTTTGGAGTCACCAGGAACGCCCGGAGCACACGATTCTCTGCTTCCTCCTCCATCAATATTTGGAGCTGGTGGTGAAAATAACGCAAACAGAGCTTCCATGCTTAGTTTGAGTTCGGTCATCGGAGACAAGACAGATTTCAAACTTCAAAAGGTCGATCCATTCTTCACTGATACTCAAGGAGAATACTATCAACAATTTGCTAAGAATCTTGATGGTCTGGATGGAAAGAATAGTGAAGGACAATTGTGTATTGAAGAATACCTGATCAAATCTGAAAAGAAATGGTTCGACAGATTCCGCGATGCACGATTAGGAAGAAACTCAGTTGCGCCTTCATTCTCTGCCCTTGGAAGTGGACGAAGATCTCACGACAGCCGTGGACGATCCAATAGCCGGGATAGCTTTACCAACGATACTATTACCCACTCAAGGCAAAACTCTAGTCAAGATAACATGGCACTCACTGGCGGATCCGCTCCCAATGATCAATTCTTACTTGGCAAAGATTATAAACCACCTACTGGTCTCCGTCTGGTCATGCAATACCGCTTCTTTGATTGGCCGGTCTATTCATTCTTACTTGCGTTCGGTCAGATCATCGCAGCTAATTCTTATCAAATCACTCTTCTTACTGGTACTGTGGGTCAAACTGCAGAGAAACTTTACGTCACAGCAGCTATCTATCTTGTTACCTCGATCATGTGGTGGGAAGTCTTCTCCTTCTTCAAGTCAATCTACGTCCTCAGTATTCCATTCATCTTCTACGGATTGGCATTTTTCCTCCTCGGTATGGCTCCTTTCGTAGGTGGCGCTGATGGAAAGGGTTGGGTCCAGAACGTGGCTACTGGTCTGTATGCTGTTGCCGCTTCATCGGGTAGTATATTCTTCGCTTTGAATTTCGGAGACGAAGGAGGATCTCCCGTCAAAGCCTGGGTTTTCCGTGCCTGTATCATTCAAGGAACACAACAAGCTTATGTCGTCATTCTCTGGTTCTGGGGATCTTATCTCAACAGACGACAAGCTGATGGTCTCGGAACTTCTTTCACGTCTGCCAGTCCAAAAATGTCTGCAGTCGTTCTTCCCATTGCGCTACTCATGTGGGCGGTTGGTCTTGTCACTTTCCTCGGATTGCCAGAATATTATCGACAAGCGCCTGGAAAAGTACCATCTTTCTACGCCTCGCTCTTCAGACGTAAGATTGTCATGTGGTTTTTCGTCACTGTCCTGATTCAGAATTTCTTCCTCTCGACGCTGTATGGTCGTAACTGGCTTTATCTGTTTTCCTCCGACCATGCTCCTACATGGGCTATCATCCTTCTCATCATCTTCTTCTTTGGATTCTTATGGGCAGCCTTCCTCTGGTTCTTCGCAATCTTGAGTAAAGATCACAGTTGGGTTCTACCAATTTTCGCTATCGGTCTCGGAGCTCCTAGATGGTGTCAAATGCTCTGGTCCTGCACCCCAATTGGACAATACGTACCATGGGTCGGCAATGGACTTGCAAGCGCTCTTTTCTCCCGATCATTGTGGCTTTGGCTTGGTATGCTCGATGCACTTCAAGGTGTAGGATTCGGTATGCTGTTGCTTCAAACTCTTACTCGTGTTCACATTGCTTTCACTCTCATTGCAGCTCAAGTTTTGGGTTCAATAGCTACCATGGTAGCCAGAGCATGTGCACCGAATAACATTGGACCTGGACCTGTCTTCCCTGATTTCAGTGACGGGGCAGCTGGTCTTGGAAATGCATGGTTCTGGATCGGGTTGATTTTACAACTTGTTATTTGTGGTGGATTTTTCACATTCTTCAGAAAAGAGCAACTTAGCAAGCCTTAGAGCTATCTTGCGTTTTATTTTGGGTTAGAGGTTGTTGCAAAGGGTGCAGAGCAAATGGAATGGTGTAAATGCATGCAGGGTGGGAGGATGTTGTGTGCACGAATGAGGCGTTTTTATATTCTTTTTGTATAAAATGGTGCAGATTTGGACGGAATTATTGTATTTGGACATTACCCCTTTGGTGGGATGACTGAGTAAAGATTTTACACGATGGAAACGATACAGAGCGCGCAATATAGAATTTTGATTTTTAAATGTTCGCTATCGACGAACGGGTATTCGGTGGAGGGTTTGGGAGGAGAAGCACTCTTTTTTTTCTTGTGTATTTGAGAGTGGAATGGGCATAATATACACTTAGTTGAGATATAACTTAAAGTTTAATGAACTTGTCACATACATATATCGTTCCATGGTGCGTTTGATTGGTGAATATCTGAATGGTTTTTACATTTCTCTTTGTCATCGCCATTAATAGATTTAGGAGCGGTGTTTTCTTCCTGTCTCTCCAAAGCATTGCCTTCAATCAACAAAAGCACAAGATGAACTGGGTACATATCAAGGCATAGTAGTGCATTATGCATCTGTAAAGGTAGCCCAAGAGGGTATCTCAGTGGATTCTCATAACATCCAGCAGAATATCTCCCACCCTATTACATTCACCCCATGCATCATAGTCTCATAAAGCGCATCGCATCATATTTTCCTCCTCCTTTCATCTACACCATCAAACAAGCAGTCTACATCATTCCCACAACTCCCAATCCAGCCGCAACTGCAACTCCCATAACTCCAACCGCAGGAACACCTGTCGCCGCTGCCGCAGCACCTTTACTCGTCTCACTTGCTACCTTACTCCAAACACTCGACTCAACCTTGCCAACATTACTCAAATAAGTGCTGACAGCCTTTTTCACACCATCTGGAGCCTTCTTGGTATACCAATCGGCAGTGATGATCTCATTGTATTCGAAACCGCTTTTGTTGATCGAGCTGGCGACGGAGGATGGGGCTGCGGAATTGATGGCTTCGAGGAAGGATGTGTAGGCGGCTTGGGTAGTCCAGGAGTTCTCGACAGAGGCGAGGGCCGTGGCGAGGGTGGAGAGAGCGCCGCCGGGGAGTGTGGGGGTGGCGGTGAAGAACTCGGAAATCACGGATGCGCTGGGAGGAAGTGTTAGTTTAGGGATTTGGAATTTGAGGGAGGTGAGGGGGAGGGGGAGGGATTGCGAGAGGCTATGGAGGGAGACATACACATCGACGCTGGTCTTGTCTGCGGAGACAAGTGCAGGAGCTGCGAGAGCGAAGAGGATGGAAGTGTATGAGAACTTCATGTTGATATCTTTGAGTGTGTCTCTTAAGAATTTGAGTGGTGGTTTGGTTATGGGTCTTTCTTTTCCAAGAAGCTAGACAGTTTACAAGTAAAAGTAGAAGTGATATCAATCTTAGAATTTCTCAAATTACAGAGCAGAAAGAAAGAAACCTCTCGCTTTCGCTTATATATCAATCAAGCAATCCATCAACCAAATGTTTACCCTCCTATCTATCTACTCTCATCACAACAATCACAACTCCATCTCGAAAGCGGCGCAGTTTAGGCAGCCCTGTCGCGTGATATATTTCTTTGAGCATATTCTCATTTCTGAACTTTCGCGGGACCCATCAATATTCAATATTGCATCTCTTTCTCCCAATCATCCGTACCTGTACCGCGCCGCGCCGCACACCCGCATACATGCCCTGTCACAAATCGTCCGTGTACGCTCGTACCTGATATTTTCGGGTCTTTATCCGTCGTGTATCCTCTCTCATCCAATAATTCCTTCATCCCAGAGAAAACCAACCTACAGACTCGGTGAAGATGCTAGGGACCGAGTAATTACATCAAACGTTCTTCACCATTTGTTTCTATATGAGAGATAAACGATCGTATGACAAGTGAGTTGTAACCTCGGAAGCAAATCAAAAACAAGCTTAACGATCAACCACCCCAAAATCCCTTCCCCACCTTCCGCATAATCCGGCATGTAACCTAAATTTGAAGCTTAATTATTTAATTTCGCAAAATCAATTATACTCCATATATTCCATCCGTTTTATCCGTTTTAAGACTTTTGGTACTAGTATGATAAAAAAATAAAAAGTAGCTATGCTATGTATACCTAAATCACATTTGCAAAAGCAGCATTAATATTCGGAGCGGAAATCTCATCCGAGCGCTAGGTGTAGTATTTTAAGTCAAAGGTCCGACAGGAACCCGCTTTGCTTAATGCTTCAATAAGTACTAGGTAAACGAGCAACAGTTTAGTCAAGTTGAGGCTCGGAGACTACGAGATAGTCTGGATACTAAAATAGCGATGGCTAGAAAGAACGGAAGAGCTAGAGGTCAGAAGCTAGTAGCCTACGGAGATATTTTACGTCCTTCGCTTAAAATGTACCGATTTCTGGCCTTTGAAGAGACGAAGAAAGTGCATATTTCGTAGGTGGCTTGGATGAGCGCAGATAGGCTGTTGATCGTGTAATGAAAACACGAGATTGATTGATTTGTTTAAGGTTTAGAAGGTTGGCTATTCTTTTCTAGGAGACGGATGATTATCTGTTTTTGTGTATTCTATTCCGTAGTGAGTGGAGAGGAAAGTTGTATTTTAGGAGAGAAATATTGGCATTCCTGTCTATCTTGGATTCTTGGTTAAAATTCGTACGAGTATTAGGTAGGTATGCAGGATGTCGTCAATACAATTATGCATCTTCAAATTTTTCCATTGCACACGCCTAGACTATGAACTTGGCCGTTTAGAACTCAGACACCTCGTATCAGTACCTACATTCAAAGGACTTTCAACTTCAATTCAGGAACCAAGCATATTACCTTGTTAGTAAATGAAGACTACTCCATATAACACAAGAATATTTTACTACCCTCGTGACCCTTAGATAGGGCCCGATCTAGCATTAATAATATTACACAATTCTAGCCTCCAGCTGTTTCTCGGGTTCACAAACCACTAAATACATACCTAGGTACTCAATCCACAAACCCACCTACCTAGCCTTCCCTCACCTTTGCTCTACACACCTAAATAATTCCCCAAACCCACAGCTCACCCACCACAGCAGTAATAAACAGCGAACCGCGCAGCACCCACCACCCACGAGTCATCTCCCTGGAAATAAAAAGCGACGATATGCAACAAAAGTTAGAGTACAAAAATTACAATGCCCCATCCATATCATGTATCCATATTCCAAAATCCCAAAATCGGAACAAAAAATATGCGTCCAGGCACTCTCATCTAGAAGTATCCATTCTCTAGGCTAAAGTACCTAGATAAGAATTCATTAATAATAAATAATAAATACTATCAGATACCTACCTACCTACCTACCTATCAAGATAAATTGCTTAGAAGATGGAATATATCAGACAACTCACTCAGCAAATCAGGAAAGAAGGATATCGAATATCAATATATTGAAAGAGGTGTGTAGGTGATAAATAGCGAAGATAGCAATGTAATAAAATAAAATAAAATAAAATGATACCTAACACCTGTCTATGTATTTCACAATTGGGAAACGGATTTTTGGAAAAGTCATGATGTCGATATCATGCGGGAAATTTTTAATGAGTTGATATTTGAAGTATTTGTTGTGGACTCCCAATTGCTCGAAAGAGAAACTAAATAGATGGATATAATAAAGATAGAGAAATTTTATAATACTCCAACTCCCAACTCCATATCATGTTTGTTTTTTCTGATTATGTGCTTTGAGGTTTGTATATATAGAAATAACATTCTGATACCCAACCAATTCCTCTTATCCTTTGACGTTGTATCATGATCACTCGATAGAGTGTGTTGTTTTCAATTCTTCTTCTTCTTCTTTGAACTCGTTCTTGGGGTTTCCTCCCGCTTTCTCAGTCTGTTTGAATATTTCCAGATATTGTTTCCTCATTACCTCCATACATCCATGATAATCTCTATCCCGCGCCCCCCCCCCCCTTCTCCTCATTCTTTCCTCGTTTTCATTCCAAGTTCTCCTATCCACCTACCCCTTCCTTTCCCTTTCTCCTCGTCTTCCCCCTCTCAAATCCCTCCCCATCCACCACCACCAAACTAAATAACCCTCCTCACCCCCTCACCCCTTCACCCCCTCACCCCCTAAGAATCACAAATAAAATCAAACTCCGCATTCGAACTCGTTAGCACCTGAAAGTTCGTCTGCGTAGCCGTTGCTCCCGCTGCTAAGCACGATGCTGAGGTTGTGGAAGAAATTAGCTTTCTTTCTTTCTTGCATATCTCATATCTCATATCCTCTTCATACAATCAACCGTAGAATTGGGTTCAATCAGCTTTTGCATCTCCTCTTTCCTCCTCGTCCCCTTCTCCCTCTCCTCTTGGTGTGCTCGTTCCCCCTTCTTCCTCGTCTCCTATGTATCGCTTCTAGTATGTAAACATTATTATAGACGATTCGGGACCAGCCCTTCGTCTACATTTCAACCAATCTATCTCATATAACCTTCACAGCTCAACCCAATCCAATCGTTACCACCACCCCACCCACAAATCCAACATCAAACCCCCCTCCCTGATCCTAACAAATCCCCACCAAAAACCCCCCAAAAAACAAACTCACAAACCCAAAGCTCCCCAGAAAAAACAACACCACTCCCCTCAAAACCCCAAACAACCTACCCACCCAAATCCCATGAGAAGAATTCGCTTGTCTCTTCACCAAATGCGATGATGTATGTTTTGAAGAAGAAGAGGAAGAAGAAGAAGAATTAGAAGGGATAAACATACACTCCTGAGTTTGACAACCCTCCACACTTAAATCTGCAGCTGCTTTTGCAGGATTGTTGGCTGCGTCAGCGCATTTGTTGTTTTGATTGGCGCAGGAGCGAGAGTAAGCGTCTGCGAATGCTGGCTGGAGGGGGAGGGGTATTAGTCTCTTTCGCTTTTATCTTTTGGGGGGGGAAGCGGATGGTGGAGAGAAGGAGAATTAAAAAGGAGAAGAGAAATAAACGAGGGAGCAAAAAGGGAAGAAAAAAATTCTACAATCAATGCAATAACAAAATGAGTAAAATAGATGTCCCCCCCCCAAAAGAAACCCGAAATCAAAACTCACAAAAGTATCCCCCGCAACCATATAAGGTCTCGCATGATCCCCGGAATTAGTTATCTATCCCAAATACAAATCAGTAAATATTTCTCCCTCGTGTAACTTCGCCATTTCAACATTCATTTCCTAATTCCATCCCATGCTCCTATAAGAAGATTTCATAATGATAATGATAATCTCTTCCTCGCCTTCACCTCTCCCAAAACTTGCACTAACAAAGGAGAGGAGAGATACGCGAGCCTCTCAAAATGAAAAATCACATACCGGATCCGCCGATACATCACCCAAAGAACCCGTGAAGATCTAAACCCCAAAACAAAAATGTCAGCTAAAATCCGTAATTGTGTATATATATATATCCCCAAGTTCGTGATATTTCTCCCAAAGATTCCATTCATGCACTTGCAGATATGAATATTTGATCGTCGATAAAATCTTGTGTCTTTTCTTTACATCACCTTTTCCCCTCTCCTGTCCTCATCCATTCCCCTCTCCCCTCTCCCCCAAAACCAAAACCAAAACCTCCTCACTCATCACCCATCACTCATCACATACCAAACCCCAAAATCAAAACCCACATACCTGCAAATTACTCAACGCCCTCCCCCACACCCCTTTAAACTCCCTCGCAAACTCTCCCTCCAAACTCGCATCCACATTCACATTTGCATCTACACTCCCCATCTCATCCGCACACACATCTCCCAACACCATCATCAAGCTCAAAGTCAGACTGACGCTGAAACTTGCTAGATTTTTGGATTTCATCGTGTTGTGTTGATATATATCCCGATATATATTGATTTCGAGCCGGCGCAATCAATTCGATTCGATTCGATTTTTCCAGAACCTCAGAACTATTTCTTTTCTCTTCTCCTCTCCTCTCCTCTCTTCGTATTTATATCTCGAGATCCCGTATTGATTAATCGAATGAATGGATGAATGAATAGATATATGAGCGTGTAAGAATCCGCCGTAAGAATCTCGCTCAATCCCTTCTCTTCTCTTTGCTTCAACTCAAATTATAATTTATTCTCTCCCAATTTTTTTCGCACACTCAAATTGTCACTCTCGCTCTCCAATTCCCGGTCGTAAAAAGTCGTTGATATTGATAAAATTCGGTCGCGCGTAGTGGTTCCAATTCCATTCACAAAAGAATAAATAAACAATCAATTCCTGGATTTTACAAAACAATCCAAACAATCCAATCCAATCCAATCCTCCCCCTTTAGAAATTAACCGCTCAGCTCAAACCCTCAAACTCTCATATTCTCACACAACCCCTCACAAACTCCCAGCAAAGGTCACAGACTCCCAGCAAAGGTCCAACCCCCAACCTCAAACATCAAACATTTCCCCTCCTACCTGAGACCGCCCACCTCGTCACACAACCAATCACATCCTTCCCCCAGATCCAACCGCCTCCCAAACCAGCCGTCTCTCCTCTCCCCATCCCGTTCTTCCCCTCCGCTCTCCCATCTCTCCGAAAAGCTCACTCCAAGTCTTCAACTAATCAATTTCGAAACATGCATGCGACAGTATGCGTTACATATCTATCTAGTATCTACAGAGTATACAACCCACCTACCTACTTCCCTCCCCCTCCCAAATAATCAACATCATCCATCGTATCATCATTAAACAAACAAACAAACAAACAAATCAACAAATCAATAAATCCCTCCTCGAGTAAACAAATAAATCAACAAATCAAATATCCTTACCTATCCACGATCTATCATCTAACCTACACAACACGATACATCACTCCTATCTATCTACTAATCGAATCGAATCTAACCCCTCGTCCTAACTTCCTACCACCAAAAAGTAGATACACACACATATACACACACATATATACACGCACACACACATACATTATACAAAACATATAGAAACCCACTCCCACTCCCACTCCCACTCACTCACACCCGCAAAAGCTCCTACTCCAATCCTCCACCCCCCAAACGAAACATAAACCGTAAAATATCAACAACACTATCCATCCAACACCCAACATCCAACACCCAACATCCCACACTCAACATCCCACACTCAACATCTCAACCCACACTCCCAATCCAAAAACTGCCCCTACCAATCCATAAATCACTCCTTCACCTAACCCTCCATCTACATTTCCCTCCAATCTTCCTCCTCTGTCCAATATCCAAACCCCCACTCGGTATCTCAATCGTCCTCCTCAATCTAATATCTACTCTTGAAAATAAACCAAATATATATATATAGTGATCTAATCTCACTTATATCCCATTCCATCTCCATCTCACAATCAATCTCACAATCAGATCAGTTCAATTCAGATCAGATTAGATCAGTTCAGTTCAGTTCAGTTCAGTTCAGTTCAGTTCAGTTCAGTTCAGTTCAGTTCAGTTCAGTTCAGTTCAGTTCAGTTCAGTTCAGTTCAGTTCAGTTCAGTTCAGTTCAGTTCAGTTCAGTTCAGTTCAGTTCAGTTCAGTTCAGTTCAGTTCAGTTCAGTTCAGTTCAGTTCAGTTCAGTTCAGTTCAGTTCAGATCAGTTCAGATCAGTTCAGATCAGTTCAGATCAGTTCAGATAAAATCAGTTCAGTTCAGTTCAGTTCAATACCACAATCAGAATGAGACCAGATTATCCTACCACCTACCCAACCAACACACACACATACACACACATACACACCAAACCGCTTCTCCAATATAGATCATTCCAAAGTCTTGTATTGATTCTCTTCCCCTCCTCCTCTCCTTCTCTCCTCACAAGCCTTAAACTTTTTACTACTATACTATGCTATACTATTGTACTACGCTACACTATACTATTGTGATATATGTACCATACTATACCATAGCATACTACAACTACACACTACACTATACAATAGCACAACACAAAAGACTAGTTTCGTTAAATTAAAAAAGTATTCTTGTCATCTCCGATCTACCTTATCAACTACCCAACTATCGATCTACTACTTGGTATCTAACTAAATTTCCTCGACGCTCACTCTTACTTTCATTTTCACTCTCAATTTCACTGTCTCCATCTCCCTCACACGCTCTCTCCCTCCCTCTCCCTCCCTTTCAATTCACGCACGCATCCATACACCAAAGGTATCCATCTATCCACCCACTCGACACATTCATTCCCCCCTACACTTCCCCCCAAAACATACAAAAAAACACCATGCCATTAATATATATAAACGCTGTAATAACTCAGGCCGTAAAAAAATGAATGGAAGGCATGCAAGTGCTTTTTGTAAAACTCAAAAAATAAAAATGCTAATGATGTTGGTGTTTACCAGTGAGGAATTCCATTCCATCTAAAATGTCACTATACCACACCACCTAGATACCCCATTGCAAAATTCGAAAAAGGAAAAAGAAAAAAAGAGATGAAGAATCTCTGACTCGCTGGCCAATATACTCCAATCTCCCATCCATCATGCATACATACATGCAATGCAATGCAAACCCTTATCCATCTGACATATACAGCGAAGTGATTTTTCATAACGAAAAAAATCCAAAAAAAATGGCCTCCCCAAAAACCGAAAAATCAGGAGATCATCGTCTAGAAGTTTGCCGAAACATTTCCTCTTCCGGGTTGATGATAACCTTCCAAAGTAGTTTGGAAAGGATTGGGTGCAACGCCACCTTCACTCTTCATTTCGTGACCTGCAGATACTGGATCGTAACCTCCCATCAATCCATCATTCTCATCTTCCTTCTTGTTGCGTCCCCAGATTCTCCATGCGACGATGAATAATCCTCCGAGAAGAATGGCTCCACCAATACCAACTACGACACCAATGACTGTATTGCGTGTCTTGGTTGACATACCCGTGGAAGAGGAGGATGAGGAATCACTAATTGGAACAGCGGTGGTAGTGGTATACGCGGCAGGAGTAGTAGAAGTAGTGTATTCGGAAGTAATAGTACTTCCACTTGATGTTGAAATGACGGTCACGATGACTTGAGTTGCGGATGGGGTAATGGTAACTTCAGAGAGAGTGGTGGATGGAACGGTTGACGATGAAGAGGTAGTAGTCTTGCTACTCTTGGTGCTAGATGTTTTAGTTGCAGATGTCTCAGTAGTTTGAGCATCTTCGGTAGTTTGAGCAGCAGTGGTTTGGGCTGCTGTGGTTGCTGAAGATGTCGTTTCGGGAACAGATACTGGAGTTGTGGCTGCTGAAGTGGTAGGTGCTGCAGTGGTAGGTTCTGCTGATGTGGTTGCGGAAGTTGTGGGTGCTGCTGAGGTAGTGGCTGCTGAAGTTTCGCTGGTTTTTTCTGCGGAAGTTGTTGGAGTGGCCGATGTTGTTGGTGCTGAAGTGGTAGCAGTGTCTGTATCTGCTCCGCTTCCTCCGGCACTGGTGGTAGCACCACTACTTCCACCTCCTGATGTCAAGGCACCAGTGCTATCTGCTCGTCGATTAAAGACACCACGATCAATCCAACCGGCTTGAGCGATGGCGAAGATAATTGCCAATACTGACAACAATCTTAGTGTCCGAGAATACATTGTGTAAGAAGATCGATCGTTGTTCCCAGGTGATTCAACACGAAAGATTTTGTTGCGATAGATTGAGGAATGAAAAGAAAATTGTGTTCAGTCTTTGTGATACGTTTTTGTGTGATGGATGGTATGTTTAAAGTCTCGTTCCTGATTGATTGGTAAACTTGGCAGGATGGTGTGGAAATGTCGCCAATAGATGAAGAAAGTTTGATTTTTGGGTAATCAGTATGAGCGAGAGTGTGAGAGTGAGAGTGAGTGTGAGAGTGAGTGTGAGAATGAGTATGAGTATGATGAGTGTGAGTGTGAGTGTGAGTGTGAGTGTGAGTGTGAGTGTGAGTGTGAATGTGCTTTGCCGTTGAAGATTTCGTCAAATAGAAAAAGAATAATCTTAATGTTTTAGATTCTTGATTTAGTATTGATCTTAACGAAAGTACAGTTAATAATTTGGAACGAGGGGAAAGGGAGTGGGAATGAGGGATGAATGAATGTGAAAGAAAAAGAGAATAAATTTTGTTTAATGCTTAGCTACCAGGTTAGATAATGTGAAGGAGGAAGGGTCTGATGTGGGTTCAATTCAAGGCTCAAGGCAAGGCAAAAGGCCCCAAAAAGCAAGACACACAAGACAAACACAAACACAGTGCACACATACAGATGGAGATGGAGATACAGATGACCGAATGATGGATTCGAGAACCAAAACTCAAAGAGAAAAGTGGAGCATGTTAAGTAATGAAGTGGTTTGATTGGAGCGTAGATCAAGGTACCGTATCCTAGGTTGGTATAATGTAATGTAATGTAATGATGTGTGTGTGGGTGGGCGTGGGTGTGGGTGTGGCAGTGGCATTGGCGGAAGAAGGTTTAACAAAGGTCAATCGATGATTAAGGATTAAGGGTTAAGGTTGAGAGTTAAGGGTCAAGGATGACGAGTGAAGAGTGAAAGGTTATTGAAGGGTTAAGGTTTGAGAAGTGAAGAGCGAAGAATAAAAAGTAAAGAGTGAAGAGTGCAAGGTTATCTCAATGTGACACGTGACGATTGAAATCAAAGGTGATCTCAAAGAAAGAGTGAAAAGAGTGAAAAGAGTGAAAGATTGATTACCTCAGTAACAAGGTTTATTCACTATCATCCCGATCACAGTGAGATGTCTACCTAGCATTGGAAAGGGTTCCCCTTCTCGCCTCAACACGACTAACCAAAATAGCCCTTCCTCGGACTTCCTGTGACTTGCATAAGTATCTATAATCTTTCCTAGTTCGATACCTTTGCTAGCATACCGAGTATGCTACTGGTCCAGGGATATCTATATATAGAATGTTCTCAACAAGTTTTCAATACACAGGGACCAAGGTCCTCCATAACCTATCTATATATAAATCATCAGCACTCTTTTGTATGCACATATATTGATCTGATTTCTCGACCGACCGAGATGGACGATATTGATATTGATATTGATACTTGAATTGTTGTGTATCCCGATATCTCGATATCAGGATGATAGACGTTGCCTTATCTCATCGAGGCTGATAAAATTGCCAATTTAAGTATTCTTCACAGAGGTCTCAGTTGGCTTTGATTCATCCTTTAAAGGAGGCAACGGATGTCGGTAAGTCCAGAGAGAGAGGCTGCTTTATATCAAATACGAAGCATGGATTTAAATCTTTCTCCCTTCCTTCTTCCTCTCTTTTTTTCCCCTCTCTTTGAAATAATTTACATTCATTCTTTCAAAGTCTCTATCTCTATCTCTATCTTCATCTTCATCTTCATCTTCATCTTCATCTTCATCTTCATCTTCATCTTCATCTTCATCTTCATCTTCATCTTCATCATCATTTCCATCAATCTTTCTGTCCTCCCCCTCCCCTATCTATCACCCCCCTCAATCCATCTCCTCCATCTCCATTCATCTCCCCATCCCAATTTCACATGTCTTATAACTTAAGCTCGTATCTCGGCCACTTGTAACATGCTCACATCTTGCAGAGGACATCTTTCATATTACTGGGCCTTTTTCCTGTCTACCTCCCCAACCCTCCTCTCGATTCCCACATGAATTTATTCAATGATTTACCCTGTGCTCCGTAATTCTATTTCTAGAACATGAGGAGTACTGCATGTACTGATTGAGGTGATGATTTATTTGATTTGATATGTATAAGATATCTATGTAACATCTCACTTCCTTTACCTCCAATTCAATCAAATCAATCAAATCAATCAAATCAATCAAATCAATCAATCAATCAATCAACCCCCTACACCACGATGACCCTCCAAACCATCTACAAACGGATAAATAATCCAACCCCGCCACGCCGAATGTCCTGCATATCTACTAAGAATCTACTCAGTGCCACTGCACTGCACTGCACTGCCACAAGCACCTCAGACTTAGGAGCATATGCACCAACAGTAAAAAGTCTCATCCCTCGATAATTTCAACCACTACATGATTGATCTACAAGTACCGGTACATCCACATCCACATCTACATCCACATCAAACTCCGCTTTCCGTTTTCCGTTTTCCGTGTTATGCGATCCAACCGGACTTGCCGTTACTACCTAGTAGGTATCTGGGAAGAAAGATGGATATTTCCCATGTGATTGATTTTTTGGTCTCAGTATACACACAGTATGAAGTACAGAGAAGATATACTACTTCTACTGTACATTATGATATTATCGGTGCTCCAGAATTTGCATCATGGTTTGAGGAATTTGGGATTCGGGATAGAGTAGAGAGTGTGTCTGGTTTATTACTTACCTCTCTAGGTATTCCATCAGTATTCAACATCTAAATACTCACAGTCTTTTATGTTGCATATATGTATGTATACATCCCTTCACTATCTATCTACTCTGTACAGAGTATACATACATACATATATCATCCCATACTATACAAATCTCATATTGGATACCGACCCGCCGATACACCCATACACATCAATTCAATTCATGCCACCATCCATCCCATCATACTCACTAATACTTATTTCATCCCATATACCCCTAATCATAGCATAACCACAACATCCATAACATACTATAACCACAACCACACCACAACACAGCACCAAAAACAATCCAACCCTCCCAATCCTCACCACCACAACACAATATAACACAACATAGCAGAGCATAGCATAGCATAATCCACAACCCCCCTCCCTCCACTAATAACTCCCATCATTTCAAATTTCACATTTCAAGTTTCATCTCCCCGTCTTCCACGCGTCAAAATGTAGATACCTACCCACCTAATACATCTCATCTATCTATCTATCTATGTATCTATCTATGTATCTATCTATCTACTCCAAGACCCCCTAACTCAAGTATAAGCATACACAAGTATACACAAGCACCTTCCAAAAAGCCTCAACCCTTTCTTTTTCGTTTGATATTTATATCTCATATCCTTCTCACATCCTTCTCACATCCCTCTCATATTCCTATCCCTATCTTCCTTTCATTTTACTTTCTTTCCTTTCCTTTCCCATTTACATTTACTTTACTTAACATTACTTTACTTAACATTACTTTACTTAACATTACTTTACTTTACCTAACATTCCATTCCATTCCATTTCTTCTCCTCTCTTCTCTTCTCCATAAATACATACATACATACATACATACATACATACATACACACACACACACACACAAACACAAACACACAATCAAGCATCCAAAACCCCTTTCCAAAACCCCTCATCTCAACATTCAATCTCAAAATCATGAACCATAAATCATAATTGTATTCTCAAATACCAACACACACATCCACCAAAAAATCATCAAAAAACAATGGGTATCCTCCAACCAACTAACCAATTAACTAACAATTCCCAGTCCCGTTCTCTGACGAGAAGGGAAGCTGGGGGGAAAAAATCAAAAAACGCCATATTCAATCCTTTCTTCATCATGAGACACATATCCAGTTCCATGAATTCAGTATCCAAAAATGAGTCACTTAGACCCTTCCATTCCTTCCCCCCTCAATCCTCCACTCCAACTCTCCATTGCCAATTTAACCAAATATCCTTAGAGATACCAAGCCATAAGATAGTCACCCACGTGATTCCCGTCTCTCCCTCTCAAAACTCGTGAAAAAAACCATCATCATCATCAACGTCAAACTCAGACTCACTCTCAAACACACTCTTAATTTCCTCCTCATCCAGACTCCCCATCTCAACATCCGACCCCATCCCCATTCCCATCCCCTCATACCCCCTCAACTGTTTCACAAACCCCGTATTCGCTTTCAGCATCGCATACATACACCCCGCCATGGGAACCTGTTCATTCTGCTTCGATTTGATCGAAGCAAGCTGTAACCCCGCCATCCACCACGGAAATGTCGATATCCTATCGCTATACTTTTTCCTAGGTTCGTATGTGGCGTAAAGAGCACTTGCTCTCAAAAGTGCCCATGTTCCCGATTCTGATTCAGTATCTTGATCTGGCCATGCTGGAATCAATTTGCTGCTTGGAAGAGGTTTGATGTCGCAGAAATCTTCAAAGCATGAATCTCGGATCGGTGCGAAATCCGGACGGGACTCGTCATCGTCGGAGTTAAATCTTTTAGATGGTGTTCTTCTGAAAGAACCATTCCATTTATTCTTAACTCTCGCGATATCCTCATCCAACTGATCGAGAAGAAGGTTCCATTCCGTTGCCATTTCGATTTCTTCCAATGCTATATTTTCACCCGTCCTCGCTTTTGCCTTGACTCTTTGATCCTTGTAGAGTTGAGCCAAGGTGGAATCATATTGAGGTGGAGCAGGACTGATGCTTTTGCGAAGCTCGTCGAGAAATTTATCAGTTTGTTCCTCAACCACCTTTGTCATTTTGTCAAGGACGTGATCTGTAGGCTTTTGCCTTTCACTTGGATTCTTGACCTTGTATGCTGGCGTGTGAGGTGCACCCGCACTCTTCCTTATGTGTCTCTTAACTTTTTGGAAGTGTTTCTCTGTGAAAATATAACCTTGCTTCCCCTGATCAACCAGATTGCTAAGCAAAGTTGCCAAGAATGTGATTTCTTGCCTATTAAGATCACCACCAATTTTGTACTCAATATTTTCCTTCCAAGCTGTACATTGACCCAGCAAACTTTGACACATATTAAAGTCAAAGCTAGCATTCAGGAATCTGTTCGTGGGATCAGAAGAGCCCTTGGTCAACTGTGCGTAAGTAGTTTTATTTTGCTCAATGTAACCTTCTTTGACAAGATCTGGAACTTTGGGAACATCCGCATTAGCGAAACTTTCAACAATAGCACGATCCCAACAGACCCATGCGATATCTCCATCATAATCACCACCTGATAACTTATCGGCAAGGGCTGGATAACCTTTAGTAGAGAAGACGATAACATCTTTAAGATGCCTCAATTCGTGCTTGTTGACTGCAGTGACTCGTTGAATATCGCTAGGATAATGAGCAGGGTTTCTAGCAACGAGTACATCCATATTCTCCAGTTGGGTATCAGATAATCCAGTTTCATTGTCCACAAAACTTGAGAAATCCAAATGAACCTCATTGGGCTCCAAGACACCCCAAAAGTCCGGAACCATGTACACTTTGGTAGATTTCGCAACGGTGATATTGAGGCGTTCCTTCAATTCCGCACATTTCATATCGAAAGCTTTCTTAACCAAGTCCATGACAAACTGCAGTCTTCGAGGATCAAAACCAGCATCAAGAAGCACACTAAGCTTGTCTTCATTCTTAGCGGGCAAACCTCCAAGCCATTGGAGAGTACCATTCTTGACCCTGTCCTGTAGCGCAGAGTTCGTGAGCCGATTCCAACAACGAAGTTCTTGAGGAGAATTTAAAGCGCTTCTCAGTTCTTCCAGCGATTGATTTAATCCTTCTTTCAATGCGCCTACGATTGCATTTTCCATCCTCTTTGAATTTGTGGCTTGATGCATGAGAATTGGAAGAAGTTGAGTATTTAGATCCGCCGTCTTCAATGGAGCCGAGTGTCCCACAACTTCAAAGGTGCGATGGGAAGGATGATCAAAATTTTGACTGCCCTTTTTTCCACGTTTCCATTTGCATTGCTCACCATATAACTCAATCCAATCGCTTTCGATATCCTGGGTGCGGTCAACGATCCAAAGGCCTTTTGCTTCACCAAATCTTCCCTGAAATGCTGATGGTATGTACGACAACTCGAGTTTGAGTACTATCTTCCTAGCCAAAGCTAATGACATTCTACCAGCACCATCTGTCATAACGTAGGTCTTGCTGGGATCATTTACATCCGGGTTTCTGATATCCTCTTTGCGTCGGATCTGAGCCTCTTCAATAGTAACAGTCGCCCGATTCCTAGAGACAACTAAAGCGGTTCTCGCAAACAGCTTCATGTATGGTTGATAATCATTCTCTGAAGTCGGTCTGATACTATTCAAAAGTTCCTCAACTGTCATACGAACAGGGACATTGGGAGCGGGAATCCTCTTTCTACTTTCCTTGATGAAGCCATGGCCATCAGTCGCAAAGAGAAAGGCACGATAGGGCAAAGCAGAACTATCCTCCTCGGAATCTGACTTCAAAGTGCTCTTCCTCTTCCTTTCGCCGCACTTGACAAAATATGACTTGTAAGTTCTAGCGAAAAGTTGATGGTCCCCATTCACCAGCCAAGATTTCAATGCATTCCACGCATCAGGATCTACTTTTGCCAGTGCGGAACCCGTTCTTCTACCCTCCAAGTCGGGTATCGCAATTTCAAAGAACCTGTCACTACCAAATCTTCGTTCGAGACGGTGAGTCAAATCCAGCCTCATTGGTTTTAGTCGAAAGGAGAACAGGGGTCCCGACTCCTTTTTATTCTCAAGCAAAGCAGCGGTAAAGACCACTCCATTAAACCCTCGAATGTATCCTCTCATAGCAACCTCCCAAACATTCGCTCCACATCTTTCCGGAAACTTTTTATTTTGAAGAACAGGAAGCGTTTTCAACATATTCCAGAGTTTATCATATTGTTCCCACTCTTTAGTGTATGGCAAGGTGAATTCGGCCATGGAAACCTCGACAAAGAGAAACACGCGAGTAATTTCATAACTGACAAAAAAAGGGGCCTTTTGCAGGCAATGGGGTAACATTGCTACAGTAAAATATCAGCAACCTTGTGCATGAGTTGCAATATCGAAAAATCATTAGGTAGACTTACGTAAAACTTCGTTCAAGCAATTCTCCGTTTCTCCCTGATTTGTGCCATTCATGGTCTCGTTAAATATTTCATTGGCTATTTCATCCTCCGTGTCATCAATCATGTCATCAGCCATATCATACTGAGGTCCAGCTTGCGACGACATATTGGCACCAGAACTTTCCGTCACCTGGCACATCCTCTCGACTTCAATACCATCAAAACTACTATCGAAATCAGAACTTTGTGTTTTCGGCCCTTGATCATCCAATGAGTGAGGTTCTATCCGTAACTTCATGATAGGCTCCGGTTCTGGCTCGGTAGCTTGAGTGTTAACGAGAGTACTACTACATCCCTGTGAGAATATTGTCGAAGCATTTGTCGTGAAACTTATATCCCCATTTGAGTTTCCATCACCTTTCAGAGGCACCGTTTTGTATTGAAACGTATCCGTAAATCGGGGCTTCGATACGTTCCATCGCGACAATGGATGATTAGAGGGACCTTCGTGGCCTGATGACTTGATCGATGGCCCTTTCGCCTTTTTGATGCTGGGATCAATATTAGGAAATGGTTCGAGGCGATGTTTGCCGTCATTTTTCCTAGCGGAGCTGAGCGGAAAAGCAAGAGGACTGTCGTCAGGCTTTGGTGTTTCCCCAGTTGACCGGATAGGCGTGTAAGCTCTCGACGAGCTACCCTGGCACGAACGACTTGCTGTGATTTCATATTTGGCATTTAGAACTTTCAGAAGTTTCTCTCGTAATTCCCTTCGTTCGTCGGATGTTATTGGGCGTGGCCTATGGCGAGTCTTGTCAGGTAAAACGCCTCGATCAGCATTAACTTTCAATACCCACCCACCATATAGCTTGTGAGCTTGCGCATCGAATGTTTCAAGAGCATCTAATAATCCAGCATTGTCCTTCCAATAGAGGAACCTGATTCGGGCCACAATCTTATTGACACATTCCTCCTCCTCCGATTTACATTTTAATTGTCGCTGCTTGGGTGACTCAATTGAGTTCACCGGAAGCCCCAAGTCCCATTTAAAATTGCGACCCTCAAGAATATGATTGAATCCATCTGTGCTGCTGTTCCCCTCGAATCTGTCTGCCAAACTTGGTGTCCTCGGTATCGCAGACATTGTGCGAGTATTCTCTTCACAAGTATGTGCTATGCGCAGATTATTTTCCTCCCTTCCCCATATATTCAAAACCTTTCGCTGTGCGCGTTTGCAGTCCCCAATCCAAAATTACATACGCCTCGTTTAGGTTTCGCGCCGTTTCGTGCAGACGGACAGCTACGTCTTTGAAGGCGGTGTTTTCTGTACGTCTGAACGAATTGTTTTTCGAGGATAAGAAAGATGTATGGATGCCTATATGTCGGTAGCCCGAAAGACTCGCAGAGTAGTAGCTGAATTTGTTGGGCGCGAAGCAAACGGGATGAATGCAACACAGTTGTGTTGTCGGCAAGGCTGAGGGGACTGGTTGGAGAGCAAACCAAGTTCATTGAATTGCGGGAACAGCTACGAAACAGTGAATCAAGACAGAGAACAAATGAAATGCAAGCAAGCAAGCGACGAAGGAAAGGAATGGAAAAACTGCGATAAAGTAGGCAAATAGCAAAAAGAGATAATAATCGAAACTATGCGATGCAATTGATTGATTGTGCCATAGTGATATTTTACCTGGTTCGGGTTGACTAATTGAAAGACTTGAGGGGCGTCCATTTGTGGAGTATGTCTTGTATTAACGCAGGTGGGTGGGTTATCAATTCTAGCTGATCTTTCCCATGAACATGAGGGGATAATACTGTACTTTGAGAATATAATATGAGGATATACTATCCGATGATGGAATTTAAATAATCCTGAGGCATGTAGATGCTTATTACGTAGATAGGCTCGGTAGGTAGTTGAAGTCTTCCTGATATCTGAGGACTATTTACAAAGAAAACTAGGCTCGGTACCTAGTCCAAGCATTCCGGCGTTGGGTAGAGCGACCCCTCCTATGATAAGATCTTCACAAGCTAATAATATCTAAGTAAGGGCCAAAAGTTAAGCTACACCGTCTTTGTTTTAGCGTTCAAATATTCTAAAGATCCATTTTCTGGGTTTCTTCAATGTATTTTATTCAAGGTTCACTCAATTGTTGCACATCTAAAGATTTCGGCATTGTTACTTTCGAGCTTTGGCACCGATAGTACCCATTCCTCCCTCAACTCTAGAGCCCTCATAATCTGCACACCTCCCAAATTTCAAACATCAGAAACAATCACACATAAAAAATATCAAATACTACAGAAATTCTCTTCATTCATTCACTCCCCCTATCTATCTATCCATCTACCTACAGCCCACACCTCCCTCTATACATCCCCTCCCAGTTAATCTCCTCCCCTTTCTATACTATAATACAAATCCCACTCCACCCTCCCATTCTCCCATCACACACACACACAATTATTTTTCCCTATAAATTCCCCATCTATGTACTATGAAAACAATCACTCCCACCAAAAAAATCGCTCCTTAGAGCGAGTCCATCTTAGAAAGAATCCCACAAAAAAATCCGGTCAAACACCCTCTCCCTCTCCCCAACATCTAAACACCTTTGCAATGCACGCTAGATGAAACCAAAGTACGACACATAAGTAAGCTGTACAAAAAGACAACAAGAATCAAGGAATCAAATATTCCTCCACTTTAATCTTTCTTCCCATTCCATGTTCTTCCCCCTCAAGCTCTCAAATTACAACCTTCCTAGTAACGACTTCGCTTTTTTCCTTCCGTCAATATGCGTTACCTCCCCTACACCAGCGTCTGCATCCAAATCTGAATCCTCATTCAATCCCCGCCCATGGTCAATCAAACTTGGACTGCTCCCCACTGCATCCCTATGATTAAGTGGATTTTTCTTCAACCTCTGCAATGTGTTTACCATGAATGCGCCGGCTGAAGAATGAGGCCTTTCCATTGCATGTCCCTCAGTCCCACCACTTCTGCTAAAAGGTCTTAACGAACTTGCATCCCCATCATTTTCCCTACTTGCCGGGGTCATCGTGAACGATGCTTGATAAGGGGGTCTTGAAGTTTGTGAGATGCCAGAGTAAACACTACTGGATCCACTTGCGGGAGCTTCTATACCATTCCGACTGGATGCAAATGACTTTCTTCTCTCGCGACTTTTCGATCGGTCAGTTTGATAGCTCAGTGATCGATCGGAGTGACGAGTTTCTGTTGGACTGATGGCAAAAGTACTGCTGGCATCGCTATTGTCATAGGAATCCTCGTTGCTAGATGGAGGCTGACTGAGAACAACACTGCTCGTGGCCAATTCTCTCAAACGACTTTGTTGTGCTACGGTAGGACGATGTCTGGTAAACTTGTTGCCTATGATGGCTCCAGTGTGTGATATCAATGCGCGAATGACATCCTTTTTGAGAGCGAGAGCAAGGTCAAGATTTGACCAGGTTTTGTTTCGGTATTCGATCGCGGGCAACCGGAAGACAAAGTCATGAACATCCTCGATATTCCGGTCACCTTTACCCTTATAACTGAGACAAAGAACCACACTAGGAATTTTGACATAAGCGAGGGTCATGTACTCAGATGCACGACTCATCATTTTGGTCAGGTCGTCCGATGGCTTCTCTTTATTTGTCTTGCTGCCACGAACACCAAATCGCTTGCCTTTAGCATCTCCATTCGTTGACACTGAATCATTCATTGTTAAAGAAGTTCCTGTTCGTGTTATGCTCGGTTTCAATGACTGACCAGACTGTAAGCTTTCGAGTGAAGGCTTCTTTGAAATTGTCGTTCTTGTCGATGATCCTCTCCTTGACGCCGTAGAATTCTTGTTGGATTGGAAGAGTCTAAAATGATGACCGTCACCGCTGTACCCTGAAAGCATACTGCTCGCTTTACTTTTCGTAGATGCAGACGTTGTTGGTCTATATTCGGAGGTCATTGTTGGATGTAATCGAAGTTCCAGTGATCCTGGTCGCGTGCTCGATGCAGAGTCGGCGTTATCCACATCAGTAACATGTAGGTTGATAGAATTACTACCCGTGGTGGTATCATTTTCATCTTCATCGTCATCCACAGGCATCATATTTTTCACCATGAACGGAGATTTGTTTTTCGCGGCATTCGAGCTCGACTTGTCGTCATTATGTCCGGGAAACATATACTCGAAGAGTCTCTTACCCACCTCGCGCTCAAGTTGGATCTTCATTGGGAAAAGGTTGACCTCGAAATGGTCCATAACTGGTATACCAGCAATAGCTTCCAACATATACCAGTAGACTCTAAGCATTTGTTGATTTCCTCCTTCGTTGAATGCTCCACGTTCAGCAGCATCGGAGTATGGAGCAAACATCTCCGGGTATATGGCATCAGGCATCAGATTGAGTCCCACAATGTTTCCGATCTGCATGAGATTGATATGCGAACCATCGGAGTTATCAGTTCGATCATATTCGGCACGTTGAATTTGGAATTCCATCAAAGGTTCGTTATTGTCACGAAGAAGATGCCAGACGATTTGATCCGAGGAAATGTTCCATCTTAGAAGACCGCTAGTTTGCGTACCATCATACTTTCGCTGAGAAGTTGTGATGGCCTTCATCATGAAGAACAGTTCATCTTCACAAGCAGCAAGATCTCGATCCAACATGATTCTATCTTCCCAACCCTTCTTATCAAGAGACTTTGAATGGATTTGGAATTGCGTTTTGATCTCATCGAGCTGTCTAATCCGTTCTTGGAGGCGAATAACCATCTCGGGAGCCCCACGCAAGTCGCTGAAATCGGACGCGAGCATAATCTTTTCGAGGCGTTCATTTCTGGTCTTCTCAAGTGGCTCGCTATACATAAGCAGATCCAATACAATAATGTACATAGCATAATATTGCGATGAGTTACATAGAGTCTGAATCTTTGGAAACTCTACCCATAGATTGTCTATGCGACTCTCCATTCCATTTGGACCGGAAGCGTGGCCATTTTCATTACTGATCTCATCATTGTATTTGAGACGCAACGTGTTGTATTTTTCGTAGCGTAGACTTGCAGAAGTCTTCTGCACAACACGTTTGAATCCAAATGGATCAACTTGGAAGTCGAACATAACTTCCATCGGTACCCAAGGAGGCCAAGCAGATCCAGCGGTGGTACCATAGCGGCTATTGGAATACAACGCCAAAAGTTGAGATGAAAACCATTTTTGGTGTGTAACGAAGAACTGCGTACCGTCCATTTCGACCGAGAAGCGACGTTGTACAAGACCACTGACATCATCAAATATACGATGGTTATCCATAACCTCGACAACTTTTAGCTCCATTCCTTTAGCCGTTACCATTACGACAGATTTCGGATTCTTCTCACTTTGAAGTTGTATCTGCGGTGCGATGAGTCGGACATGATAACTATTTTGTGGTGTGAATTCGGAAGCAATGTTAGGAACTAGTTGATCAGTTGACACTCTATGCATGGATTCATGGCCTTGAGGATCATCCGCGTTGACAAATTTCTTTCCGTCAGCCAAAATCTCTTTGATACGATCCTCAACTTGCTGTGTCGCTGCCACATCTGGCACATCTGGCGTTTGAGCTCTAGACGCAGCTTTCATAGAAGGCTCTCTTGTTTGTGCTTCAGTCGGCCGGGGGTTCTTGGCTTTGTTTTGTTCTTCGACAATGTCAAGTATGAACTTTACTGCTCTTCGAGATAGATAATACACAAAGCCTCGTCTTTGGCTGACTTGGTGAATATAACGAAGAATGATGTTTCGCAATAAATTATTCCACTTCAATTGCATGTTATGGATGACGAAACGGTTATTAAAATCACTGACAAAATCACCAGCAGGAGAATTATCATCAATCGCTTCTGACTCGATACCATAGTCATTTGGTGGACTTTCACCTTCACGACCAGCATCTTCGCCGCCATCAGGAATGATTCGCGGATCATTGGTATTCACACGCTCTAGCATACCATGTTTCATCGATTCCAAGAAAATCTTTTTATTGCGCAAAAATGGGCCATGAATGCTCAATTGGTCATATTTAGCTTTGAGGGTCGGATTTTGCGGGTCTTGCGAATATGCCCACTCGGCTGACTCGAGGGCTTCTTGGTGATCT